CCCTCCTGCCTGCGCCGGGTTCCCGCCCGGATCGCCCCTCCCCCAGGCACCACCACGTTCCCACTCCACGTCCCCAGCGCTTTTTTCCCTCTCCAGCCTGGGCTCCCCCGCCCCGGGGTCCTCCTTCCTCCCGCATCGCGGGCTCTTTGGAGCGCTGGGGTCGGGGTTCAGCCTGTCGGCAGAGTCTGCCCAGGTCTTCCCTTGGCCTCTGAGGTGAAGGAGCACTCGGTGGATGGGGCCTTGGCCTGTGCGAAGATGTTCTGGGTTTGGGGTTGTCCCCGGCCGCGTGGACAGAGGACCCCCGGTACGGGGTGCGTGTATGGGGAGCCTTTTGTGGGTGAACACAACCCAGATGCCGCCCTCTCTCAGAACCCTTCTTTCCTCCAGGCCCCGGGACTCCAGCTAAGACTAATCGCCAATTAAGGCGAAGTCCTGGAGCCCGGGCTGGCGAGGGGCCAGGGGTGGGGCGCGGGGACACTCTGCCTGCTGGGGCTCGGTACCGGCTGGGATGGGGGACACACATTGGACTCGAGGGCGAGAAGAGTGGAGGTCTCTGCGATTAAATGGGTCTCATGCAAATTAGATGCGAACTTTATGCTAATAAAAGCAGAATATTTTTGAATTCGCCACTTGGCGCAGGATAGCAAACTGCCCCACCCCACCCCCAGCTTCTTACCGGGCTGCAGAGCCCAGGCGAGGACCTCATCTTCGCGGTCCCTTCTGTGATCTCCCTCCGTACGTTCAGACTCTGGCTCGGTATCCCCCGACCCTAGGGAGCTTCTCCTCGGGGGCTGCGGGGACAGAACCACTGTAAGGAACCCCCCTTCCTAGGCAGCCCTGACCTCCCCTTTCCCCTTCTCCCACCTGTCAAAATCTACATTATTATAAAAAGGTCGCCCATAACGGGGCTAAGGCCCTCGTAATGGAACTCATGTATTCCTGCGACTGCCCCGCAGAACTCGTTTTCGGATAAATTGAGTTGTGGGTGCAGCCCTCCTGAAGGCCCCGAAAGACCCCCGACCCCACCGCGGGCCCCCATTCTTACCCCCTCCTGCCCGGGGAGGGCGCATGCGCGCAGCATGCTCCCCATGACCCCCAGTATCCGGTCAGTGCGGCCAGGGGCGGGGCGGTCCGGGGGCTTCATACTGAACCCCCACTCAGCTCCACGTTTCAGGGTCGAGGGGGCACGGAAGCTGGGGGGCTTTGAGGCCTGCTCTCGTCCAGGGAGTTGCTGCTGTGGAATCCGCCCCCTGCCCGGCTCCGCCCCCACTCCCACCCCAGCCAAACTTCGCAAAGAGGGTAGGGTTGTTCTTTTCTCTACAACGATGGTTAAACAACAAAAAAACACCCTCTTAATACTAATTCCAACATCGAAGTGTGGCCCAGGGTTTCGCAGTATTACTACAAAGCCCGCTGGTGCATCCCGTTCCCCAGGTCCTCAGGAGGCAGAGGGACTGGGAGGGCACACAGGGATCTCCCTGTCACCCCCCTCTCCCCTTTCCAGCAGGTCCCTCTCCCCACCCCACCCCCACCCAGTCCCTGGAAAAGAACGGGTGTGGCATGAAGAGTTGCATATTTTACTTTATTTTTATTAAATTAAAAGCTACAGTCTGGCAGCGATTCCAGAACAGGGTAAGGAGGTTCCTCACAGGGGTCAGAGAAGAGCGGAGAAAGACAGACTGACGGAGACTGGGACACAGGAAAGAAAGGACAAGGTTAAGGGAGAACTGTATCTGATGAACACACACAGCCGGCTCCATGGGGGGTGGTGGGGAGCTCATATCAGCCCAATTCCTCCTCTCCAGCACCCTAAGTTCAGCGGTGAAGCAGTATGTGGGGGCAGTTGGGAATCAAGAGACCCTCCCTTCCCCACCCTAGGTCCTTTCTCGGCTTGGTCATGGAGCACAGCACACCAGAAAAAGCCAAGGGCATTGGAGAGGCAGGGAAACCGGGAGTATATGTACACCGGGAGCGGAGAACAGAGCCTTGGAGGTCGGCTTCTGCCAGAAGGGAGTGGCTCACACTGCATTGAAACACTTGGCCGGTGGGGGATGGGGGAAGGGATTGCCCCCTCCCTCTCAGAACGCCCTTCCCAGTCAGACAGGTCCCCTACAGGTGTGTTGTGGGGGGCGGGGGGCAGAGAGGAGAAAGAGGCTTCTGCTGGGTCCTAGTAGAGGTGGACAGCAGGGGCCTTGGCAAAGGCGATGTCCTTCAGTCATCTGTGATACCCTTCGCTCTCAGCTCCTCTTGCACCCGGGTCAGGTAGGTAGGGTCTGGGTACCCAAACCTGGGAGCAAAGAGAAATGAGGGTGAGGGTTGTTAGCTGTTGGAACTTGCTATTATCCCCATGCTCACCCTTATTCTAGGTGACTCAGATACCTCCCCACCTCCCCTAAGGGAGGACACCTCCAAACCCAAGATAACTTAGCCCAATTCTGCTTATTTTTGTAGGCTAAGCTGGGCACACCAGGACCAGGTTGAATGTAGGAGAAACTGAGACGGCTGAACAGTTTGGAAGTGGTCTTCTCCAGTTAGGAGGCTCCCAGAGCAAGGGGTTGGTGGGTCCCTCAGTGGAAATGGAGGAAAGGGGAGGAGCCAAGGGAAAGGAAATGAAGAGGGGTCGCACAGCTGGGGTCCCCCTGTGCAGCTGGTCTTGTGGTGGATGTCATTCCAGGTGATGACATTCGGTCTCCCTGTGGTCATGGACGTGCCGATAGTGAAGGTGAGACGCTGGTCAAACGCCTTGCGGAACAGGGTCAGCACCTTGTTGCCCTCAGGGCAGTCCGGGAGGTAGGCCACCCGTGTGGTGCCAGGATACCGAACTCCTGGGTTTGGGTGTTCAGCCTAGGAGGAAGGTGAAGCAGAGTGGGCAGTGAGCAGCCAGGCATCCTAAGGCCCAGATGCCAGTGAAGCATCATCCAGGCCAGTCTCTGTCTGAGCATCCCCAGCTAATGCGGATAGGGCAGCAACAGGCTGACAGCTTTCCACAGAAGGAGAGATTATATGGCCTCGGCAGCAAGAGCCTGTTTCAGAGCATAATCTTTATGTGTTAAGAGGTTTTTTCTGCTGTCTCAATCCCTCAAGTCTCCATTCAGCAACAAATGGATTCTCAGAAGTGATGGAAGGTAGCTGATCCCTATACTCCAGACAACTCAGCAGAAATGTGAAGACAGAATAATCTATCTTTCAGCCTTCCCTTAACCTGAAAATATTCCTAATGTTTCTGCCACTGTCTAACCTGTTCCATTTTCCATCAGTCTTCTCTGCAACTTCTTCAACCCTCTGCAGCCAGAATTGCACATTACTCTTTGTCCAGCAGGAAGACACCTATAGGCCTTGACCACTCCCGTTTTTACAGAGTGATGCTCCTGGCTCTGTTGGGTTGGTCAGATCCCTTCCTATTGTGCCTCCCTGCCCCTAAGCCACCACCTCCACAGAATTTACCTCTGCCAAGATGTCAGCACAGTATTTGTGTTCATCAAGGAAGCAATATGCAATTCCTTTCTCTCGTATCTGACTTGCTTTTTTTTCCTAGCTCATATCTGATTTTCACATGTGCCTTGGGATCACAGGGATGGAAAAGCTGGGCCTCACAGGGACCTCCTAGGTCTAGGGCACTGAGTAAGAGGGCATAGTGGAAGACAGCAAGACTGTCTCACATCTAACAAGCACACTCACCCTCACCCGGTTTTCCTAGGTCAGAGCCTGGGGAGAGCCAAAGGGTAAGGGCGGGCCATGGTCTTCTTACCCCCTGGACACCGGGCGGGAAGACGTACTGGATGACAATGGTGCCATACTTCTCATAGCTGGGTAGTAGGAGGGTGGCGTCCTTAGAGACCAGCATCCGCCCATTCTGGGGCTGGTTGCCCACCAGCTGCCCATAGAAGCGGCCGCACATGGGGCAGGCCTTTTTCACCTGCAGAGCCCGGGTGATGCAGCCCTCGCAGAATGAATGCCGGCACTTCTCCAATGTCTTGGCATTCTGGATCTCCCCCAGACAGATGGGACAGGTGCTCTCCTGCTCTTCTGCCTCCTCCCGAAGGCGAGGAGGAAGAGGTGGGGGCAGGGGGGGAGGAGGAGGGGGGAGCCCCCGAGCCCCTGGGGGCAGAAGTGGGGCTGCTCGGAGAGGGGGTGGGCCTGCGCGGTGCATCTCAGGGTGCTCCCCTCCACCCCCCAGAGCCAGGCAGCCCATCAGCTCCCCCTGCCTCTGAGCTTTCTTCAGCTCTTTCTCTGCCTCTTTTAGCAGCCCCTTAAGAGCCTTCCGGGCTAGGTAGAGCCCATTGGGAGGGGCCGGGGGAGGGCCCTGTGGGGAAAGCTGGAGAACATAGATGTCAGAAGTCTCGCCATCTATGAGGATGGACACACGATGCTCCTCCCGAAGCCGGGCCAGCCGGGCTGGGGTCTCTTTGCTCAGGAAGTCCCACACAGGCTTGGAGACAGTCACTTTGTTCTTGCAGGTGCCTCCACAGGCTGCCATTCTGGACAGGACGAACGACACTGCCCCCAGGGTGAAAGGGACTCAGGGTGGGGGGTCCCCATTTGACAAGTATCAGTGCCTCCTACTTCAGGTTCCTTCCAAACCCTCTATTACCTCTGTTTTCTCAAAGCCTAATCCCCAACCCTTCCCCCAAATTCATATTCTCTCTCCCCTTATCTTCCAAACCCAGCGCCCACTGAAGAGCAAAAAAGTTTCCAGAGCTGTATTATCATCTAAGCCAAGTATCAGTCTTGTTTCTCCTGCCATTTCTCCCAGATCATAGAAACAATTTGCCCCTCCCACTTCTGGGGGGAAAATGGGCTCTTTAAAGGGGAGGGAGACTTTTTGCCCCTCCTTTTTGCCCCTCCTTTTTGCTTACTTTGATCCTGAAGAGCTTAGAATTGGCATGCAGGCTCACTCTTTTTTCCCTGCTCCCTACTTGTAGGTCGTGTGAGCTGGTAGGGCGGAAAAAAAGGAAGGAAAGTGAGAAACCCCTTCTCCCAATTCCCATGGCCCCCAACCCAGCAGCCCATGGAACACAGACAGAAACCTGGGTATAGGTTACTGAGAATGGTAACATGGAATGAAGGAAACCAGCTTAAGGGTGAAAATTGAGGATCCCTTGCGGGGGAGATACCTGGGAAGCTCATGGAAGATGATGGCAGCAGAAATCCTTCTATTTCCACTCAGCTGACCAGGACTGGGAATAGGGGAAGGGTAAAAAGTTATGATGGCAAATGTTACCATTTCCCTCAGCCAACCCAGAAATAAAAACTCCACTTCCATCTCCTCTCTCGTCTGCAGAATTCCATCATCAGCTTCTCCCCAAGTTGCTCAAGAAGGAACATGCTAACCTTCCTCCTTTCTTCCCCAGCTCTGAGGCCCCCAAGAAAGCCTAGGGCACACATAAAAGATGTCAGGAAAGAAAACGCCCACACAGGTAGAGGTCTTCTTGCCACCTCCCTCAGATCACATGGACCGGAATATCTCCTATGCTCTCCAACTCCTCGCCCTGCTGCTCCACCTTCCCAAATAATTCAGCCCCTATTGCCAGGGAGCCTTCCTTGAGAGCTAACTCAGTCCCTTCTGCTGAAGTCTGTTAAGGATGTGAACAAAGTGGCAGCAGCCCCTGCAATAACAAAGTTCTCATTGTCACCTTTTAAACTCAGCACAGGCAGGGCTGTCTGTCAGCTCCTAAGTCTGGCATTTAGGGAGGGGCGGGGCTCACACAAGGGCTCAGCTGGAGGGGCCTGATGTTTCCCCTGAGTCTGGTCGCATTGGGCTACCAGGCTGTACCCACAACACTTCCAAATGCAGCTCAAACAGAAAGAAGGGCCATTAGTGTGACCTCCATTCAATGACTGATCCAAAAAGGAGCAGCTGTCCCTTCATGCCTCCATCATCGTCCCCCAAGGCCAGATGCACCTCGAGATTCATAAAGTGAAAATGGAACCCTAGAGTCTCAGCCCATACAGTGTATCTGCGCTGCAACACCCTCCTCCCCATCACAGGGGACCCAGGACCTAGGTGTCCTAGCTCCAAGTCCTGCTGGCACAGAAAAGGGAGGCGGGGCCACAGTTTAGGGTGGGTCTGTGATTCCTCTGTGGGAACCCAGGCCGGACAAGGGACAGTCTCTCCCTCTAGATAGAGGCCAGAGGGAGGGACAGCCCGGAAGGGCAAGGGTCCCTGGGGGCATCCACTGAGGCAGCTCCCGCCCTACCCCCACGGCCTCCTCCAAGACCCGACCCGGAACCAACTCCCCACATCCCTCACTCGCCAAAGCCCCCCGATCCCCATTGCCGGGCGGGGATGCATGTCGGCCCCGATCGCAGCCCTCAGAACCCCCGAATGGAGGCCAAGGCTGGAGGGTGCTAGAAAGATGATCGGCCGGGCACGGAGCGGGGAACCCGGAGCCGCGCGCGGGGAGGGGAGGTGGAGGAGGGGGCGCCGGGGGAGCGAGGGTCGTGTGAGGGGTGCGAGCGGGGCCTGGGGGGCGCGCGGTGGGTGTGGGGGGCGCCGGGCTCACCTACCTCTCGTCAGCGCCGCCATTGCCGGTCACATGACTGAGGCTGTTGCTGGGATGACGGTCCGGGCCTTAGCAACAAGGAGGGGGGGAGACCCCGAAAGGTTGGGGGTTGCAGGGGGTGCAGGCTGAGGGAAAGGGAAGGAGGGAGGACAGCACCCTCTTTCCCCTCACAGGTGATAATCACCGTTCCTTTGACCCCCTTCTATCCGCAAGCCCCTGCCCTTCCTCCCCAAAACAAAAATGGAGGCGCTGTTCCAGTCTTTGGAGGGAGGGGGTGGCGTCATGGAACTGAGGGTAGGAGGTTAAATCCCTGGAGACGCCACCCTTCTCGCTCCCCGCTCCCGGCGGAGCACTCTCCCTTTTCTTTCCCAGCCAGCTGCGTAGCAGCTCCGGGGAGCTGGTGGTGGATGGGTGGGTGAAGTGTTGGTGGGTATATGGGGATTCGGGGGGGAGGGCGGCAATTTTTTGAATCCTTATGGTAGAAGGGCCTTTGAGGAACAATGTGGGATGGGAAGAGTCATAGTAAAAAAAAGCATTGGTTTTAAAAAATAAACAAATCCGGGTACTAAACTATTTCAATCCCCTCCCTCATCTGCCTCTTTCTAGATTGTTACCTCCTGTGACCCCCACAACCTGCTCTCAGTTGGTCGTTGGTAAGTGCCTCTGATTTTTCTCTTTCCACAAACAGGGATATGGAGGCTGGTGCAGAATGGGAAACGAATACATTTTTTAAAAAATGGCTTGAGGTGGTGGTAGTGTCAAGTGTGTATGGTTCAAATAGAGTTAAAAACTCTCAGGAAAAAAAAAAAAAGCTCTGCTCTGCTTCCCACATCAAGCAGTCTCTGCCGAATTCAACTCACTTCCCTAGGGCCACATCAAGCCAGGTTTTTCCACCAGCCAAAAGACTTCCTCAGCCAAGACAGGAATCTCCCAAACTGGCAACAACCTCTATTCATCCACCCCTTTTTCACTCCCCCTCTAGACTGGAGGGCTGGTCACTTTCTTCACTTTCCCAGGACTCTGCTGTACCCTTCCTTCCCTCCAGGAAGAAGACAGCTTTCCCAGGAAGCCTGGGGGAATACTGGATTCCGTTTCTTTTAGCTGGTGGGCTGAGAGGCCTACTCACCTTTACAAAGATGGAGTGTTAGCAAGCCCAGAACTCAGGGAAGAGGAAGGGTCCCATCACCCTACCCTTCCCTGGCCCTCACTACCTCTGACCTCCCACGAAGTTGAAGACTAAGTTTTCCATTCCAGTGCACACCCTTCACAGCTTTTTAAAAAACGTTCCCAGCCATCTGTCTAGAAACCCACATCCTTAGTTAGGGGCCCAACACCTTGAACACCAGAATTCTTCAGCTGGTCTCTGCACCCTTAAGCACAGGCTTCCTCAGAGAAGTGAAATTAAAAAAATAAAAATAAAATAAAAATTTCTGTACAGGAATTTGGATTGAATAATTTATTCCCTGTATTATGATAGTAATGGGAGCAAATACACAATTTTTTATTAATAAAACAAAAAAAGATGAAAAACAGAAGCAACAAATGAAGACATCCATACTGCCCATAATACATCAGCCATGCGATCAGAAAACCCATTTCTAAAGAACAACGGTTGCTGGTGTCCGAGTTTTATTGCATTCATCGGGGGAAAGGGAGATGGTTGGAATGAAAAAGATCCATCAGTCTTCTGACAGGAAGATGTTATAAGGGGGCTCCAACCCCAATGGGTACGCCTCTTGTTACCACCTTTGGAGCAGAAGATGAAGGGGAGAGAGAGCTTCTCCCTATGGCCTCATGGCTTCTTGTGAGACAGATCAGTCCAGCCAGATACAGAGCAAAGCAGCTTTGCATCACCACAGGCCAGTTGCTGGTGCCCACCTTTATGTTTAAAAAAAAAAAAAGTGGAAGCCTCAAGAGGGATGGAGGATACCAAGAAGAATGGGTGCCTTGGCCCCAGAGGCATTGTAGCGAGGGGAAGATAATATATCTCATCAGGGTTCTCAACATTATGAGAATATCACACATCAACTCAACTATCTTTGGAGGGGCTGAGTGATTGAGTTATGGCTCTGACTCCTCTCTGGGGGTGGAGAGTGAAGATGACAAAGAAGGCCATCTGTCCCCTAGGAGACACAGTTGCAGTATAAGACAGGACAGAAGAGAACAGAAAAACAAATCCAACTGGAAAAAAGGGGAGGGAGAAGGAAGTGTGCTAGGCACACACATCCAGGGAGTAGGGGAAGTTCCCACACTTGAGGCCTCCATCCTCTTGAAATGACCAGAATTGATCCAAGTAGAGATATTCCTTTCTTCTGGAAATAAACCTTGGGGATGGCTAGGCAGGATGAAAGGAAATTTAACATGGAGAATGAATCTTACACCCTGGCCCATCATCCCAGCCTCCAAAACTGGCCACAAACCCACTGAAGGGTTCCAGTCCCAGGAGAGGTGTGAGGTTCTGGTGAAGAGCAGCAGTAGTCAAACACCTTCCCCCAGGCTTGAATGATTTTGGCCATCTCTGGGCTCCTGTGCCCAGATGTAGAGATGAGTGGAGATGGAATTGAGGTGAGGGAAGAGATTACTCAATCTTTGACAGAGACCCAATCCAATTCTCTGCATAATCACAAGAGTTCTCTTAGGTCCCACCTCTGTGAGGTGCCAGGTTGCTGACCCACTCTTTACCCCACCTGGGTAGGACTGGCCATATTCCATCGTGTGTGTGCATGCCTGCACCCACATCTGTAGTATCCTGACTGTCATCCATCCTAGGGCCCACCAGGAGGGAAGCATGCCATAGTGAGTTCTATAAAGTTATCAGCAAAATTCAGACACTTTTAACTCATCCCACACAGCAACATGCATCCAGAGTAGTTGCTTGAGCCAGGTCCATCTGTCCAGTCAGGTCCTGAAGATGACAAACAACCCCCTTCCCCTAGCTCCTATATCATAGAAACAACAGGAGATATTACAAAGATCAAGGCACTTGGGAGAGAGTCAACAATGACATTCTAATACTACAAGCAGACTTCTTGTGGGGAGGGAGAGGGAAGAAAAATGGGCACAGGGGGAAAAGGGACAATGTATTTCTGAGGGTCAGAAACAGCCTACTCAACAGGATGGAGTTATCTGGATGGAAGGAGCCTGCAGCCTGAATTTAGCAAAGGAATAAGAGAAGTGGTGGCTAGAATATCCACAATTCCCCCAAGCGTCTCAGAACCCCACCACCTTGAACATCAGAGAGAATCAGGCAGTCTCTTAGGCAAAGATGTTGGTAATAAAATCCAGGAATCGCTTAGCATACTGCTCCGGATGGACAGTAGAGATCTCTGCTCCAGCCTGTGAGAGAAGATATGGAACAATGTGTCAGGCCACCCTAGCACCCGTCCCCATCACCCCCACCCAATCTACCCCAGACCACTTCCATTCTTTTGCCACCCCATTGCTCTGGCACAAGAGGCTGTCTCTTCCCAAATAGTCAAGACAGGAAAGGAAAGGCTTGTGGGAACTCTCACCCCATGCTTGACAGTTTTGGCTGCATGAGCTGCTTTCTTCTTGGCATCATACTGTGTAAGGATATCAATGAGGCCCATGAAATAGACCTCCTTCTGGGGGGCTCCTGGGAGAGAGACCAACGATTCAGAGCAGGTTTAGTTCCAATTCCCTTTCTCCAGGAACCAGTCAGTTTTGTTCTGAAAAGCTCATCAGGCTCTCCCCCACCACTCTGGTCTCTGCCCTTCAGGAACAATCCCCTCTCCACCCTTAAATTGTCCCGGTTTTCTCACCTTCAGCACTCCGGATGGCATAGACATCAATGAAGGACTCAAACTCTCCTGGGCCCAGGGGCCGATGGGAATGGATGTAGCCTCCGATACCCTCTGGGGAGGTGCCATAGGAGCCCACCAGAGCAGGAGGTCCAGTCAGGCTGCAGTCCCCATCCACCTCTGACTCATCCTCCCGCACGGGCCCTTCCTCCTCTGGTTCAGAGCCCCGAATGATGTCGTGGATGCCCAGCAGAAGGCTGTAGTCCATGATCTTCAGCTGCACTAGAAACTGAGACCCACTGACAAATCAGACACCTCTCTCTCACTCTTCACTGCTAGGTATCACCCCGTACCTGTACCTTTGAATTTCTGGGGCCCTCCTGGAGAAAGGAAGTGTAAAAATTAAGGTTGCAGGGCATACCACTGCCCTTTAGTGCCTACATGTCCTGGTATCTAAGATCATCCTTTTAGCTTATTCCAGCCACCCCTTCCATGGGTCAACTCCAGGGGTTTTTCATGTCCCATACTAAACCCCCATACATGCAGAGGACCTGAAGAATAAAGGGAAGGGGTGGAGCTCCCTTATACTGTGAATGAAAGAGACAACTACCCTCTAGGTAGCAAAAAAAAGGAAAGTCATTTCCCAGAGCACCCAATCATCACCTCCACATCTCTCTTTAGCTTCTCCAGAAATATTTTCTTCTCTTCTTCACCAATATATACTTTCTGGTTCTTGTTGAGAAAGTCCATATCCTTAAGGGTGGGCAATTCTTTAACCTAAGAATAGGTAAAGGGACATCTTGGGAGCATATTCCTTTCCCAAGGTCTCAAAAGCCCACCTTCTGTCTAGGGCTCTATGCTAGCTCAGTTAGATCTCATCTAACTCCACACTGTGATGCTTCTCTGGTTTGTTCTCACCTCCAGTGACTTCCACAGACTCAGTCACTACAGCTGTATCCCCAATCACATCCCACTACTCTCTGCTTATGGTTTTCAGTCAAGACCCTCCAGGCTGACTTTTTTTTTTTTTTTTTTTTTTGAGATAGGATCTCGATCACTCTATTGCCCAGGATGGAATGATAGTGGTGCGATCTCAGCTCACTGTAGCCTCAACCTCCCGGACTCAAGTGATTCTCCCACCTCAGCCTCCCGAGTAGCTGGGACTACAGGCACATGCCACCACGCCCAGCTAATTTTTTTGTTTTTTGTAGAGATTACGTTGCCTAGGCTGGTCTGGAACTCCTGGGCTCAAGCAGTCCTCCTGCCTTGGCCTTCTAAAGTGCTGGGATTACATGCATGAGCCACCTGCCCGGCCTGTGTCTTCTTAAGCAAAATAGCTGCTTGAATACAATAACCCAGAATGGGAAGTGGAAGTTAAAACATTTTGCTCTTCAAGTCTGGCATCCTCACCCATCCCCAAGCCTTCCATATGGAATAATCCATGCCAGTGTTAAAACAGCTGCTCCCACTGCCCCTTCCAAACAATCCCCGGATCAACAGAAGTTTACCCCCCTCTTCTTTTAAGTGGTTTAAGATAATAAATAGCTAGTAATCCCTATTCCTATATAGAGTGGCCTCTCCATCCTAAGAAGTTCCCCTCATCTGCCCTCCCTCATCCCTCATCCCTCACCCTAGCACATAAAATTACTATCACCTTTTCCTTATCGCTGGCTTCCCGGGACACTAGGGAACCCTGCAGAGAGACCCAAAGACCAAGTCAGTAGAAGTGGCTAAAAGAACAGTCAGAACCCAACCCCTAAGATGAGTACT